TCTTTGAATCGTTTTTGGCGTTGGCGATAATTTTCAAAATCGCACCAACGCTGCACCGTATACTAGGATTTTACCCTTAATCATGACGAAGATTACGTGCGAAATTGTTTCCAAGTTCTTATTAGCTAAAATCACGATCGGAATTTTCCGGAAAGTAGTAGAACAAACATGCACAGAAATTTATTTTTACAGGGCAAATTTATATATGAAACATGTAAATAATTTTTCTCATAAATTAGAAAAATTTGCACGAAAATGCGGGAAAATTTTGTGAATCTTTGATATACGAGATTACCTGATCGCTAAAAAGTATGTATACTATGCAAGCTTTTATATGTTCAGCTTGCATATACCATTTCCAGGGATGAACATTTGCACGTATAAAATAAATAAAATATGCAAGAACTTTTCCCTCTAAATTATTCATTATAAAAGTCACCTGCGATTTTATACGGCAAACATTAAAAAGGGTTGCAAATACTTAGTGTCAAATATTTAACTTATTTCCATGCAGGTTTACTTCTACTGAAATGTATTCCAAAATGTTACAAACGCATGATGCACAAAATCACTATCATTTAATTAAAATATAAATAAACACATACATTAAATTAATAAAAATTAGCTTAAAATCTTAGTTATTTTAAACTAATTTATTGCTAATAAAAATTTTCTAATAGCATATTGATTTATTTATTGCTTATATTTAGAAGAATGCATAAAAATAATCTCTTCAAATGATTAAAAATACTAACTTACCTAATCTTCTTCAGAATCTTGAGTGTATGGCGGAAAAACTTTTTTATGGATTCGACAAAATCATTGAATGATTTTTTCTGTGAATTTTTCCGCCATACATTTTCTGCTAAATAAAAAGCAAAATTCTGCTGATCATAATGCTTAGGAATAGCACTTTTTATAGCACCCCATGTGCCCTCAATCGTATTCGTATGTGTGCCTATTTCAGGATCTTTGAAATGATACTTATGGTTAACAGCAAGATACTGAAAACCTTCATCCTCCAAACAGGCACGATTTCCAGCAATCAGATATTATTATTGTACCAGGTAAGATATACATACTGCTTAATGAAACTTAATAAGCAATCTTTACTTCTTTCTGGCACAACCTTAAAAAAACACTTATTACTTCCCCTTTCAATCCCACCAAACACCCATTTTCCTTCCACTCTCCTACCTCTCTGATACTTGCATTTGCCAAACTTACTTTCATCAATTTCAACAATAACATCCATATCCACCAAGCATACCCATATCATTCTTGCAAAATTCCACGCACACTTCTCTACAGAAACAGTTCCAATCGGCTGCAGTACTACTGCTAATTTCTAAATCGGAAATCCAGTAGTCAACTGGCAGTCGATTCACCCAGTAGTAAGAAATTAATAAAATTTCACCCATACTCAAACGACTTTCAGCAAACCAGGTACCCTTCCTTACACTCCGTTTCACAAAATGTCCATTTTCACCAGATTTCTTGCACCGCCATTCAAACTGATCTGTAATATCCTTCCTTTCACACAATCTCATTTCATTCCCACATGTTGGACATTCATACTTATCTGCAATTAATCCTACACTCATACACCATTCAAGCAACTCTTTTGGATGATCACATAAATACAATAAAAATTTGGAATTTACTTTAGAGAAGGCCATGGGATCCAAATATTAACCAACACTATTTCACACAAGATACAAGATGGAATGAAGCTGAACATACAAAATAGTATGCAGTACTGCAGATATTTTTGCAAATTTCCCTCCTTTTTGGATTAAAGAACTGTGATTCGTCCATAAATGTCACATGATCTCCGATTTCTCTAAGATAAAATAATCTGTAATTGGAACTGTGTACTTCGCAGATTATTGCTAAAGTCCTAGCTAGTAACCTTTATCGCCTTACCAAAATGTTGCCAAAGTACCTGTTACCATATTCCAAAGATTAGCCCTTAATTTTTAAAAGTAGCAACCAGATATAATCATACACATATATTAATGAAATAACTAAAATCAATGTCATTCTGATTATTCTACTTAACATATGCATACGATTTTTGCGGCAGACACCAAAAGATGCCCTTCTCAAGGTGATTTTAATTTTGATTGTAAATAATTATAAAAAAATGAAGCACACATCTGACATGAATCATTCTCCTGAGAAGGTTTTAGCCAAACTTACTTTTTCATCCGCAGAGAACCCGTTGGCGCTTCGGGAAAGAACCCGTTGGCGCCGTTGCATTCTTACTCGCCAAGCTCGCGGTTCATCGACGATGAGCCGAGCCGTAAACGTGATATTTTGTAAAGGTGATTTTTATTGCATGTAAATTCAAGTTAGCAGATAAAACAATATATTAAGCATGTGGTAGTAAAAATTCACAGATAATATGCATGTAGATGTAAAACTAAAGGGTTAAACGTGATATACGAAAAATAAATTTGTATAAATTCAAGTTAGCACAGAAAAGAATATATTATTAAGCATTAGACAATATATAAGCATTTATAACGGAATAAAAATTCATTTAAAAAATATAAATTAGTATTAATATACTGAAATTAACCGGTTAAACGTAATATACGAAAAAAATTTGTCTTAAATTCCAGTTAACAAAGAAAACAATATATTCCTTACACTAGCAGCAGTTTGCTAATTTTGATGACCATGGTGATGCATCAAACTATTCTGTCATCTTAGATAATCAATATTTTTTTATTTCAATTTAATCATCTATTTATGTCACACCTACCATCCTTTGAAAGGTTATTGTTAGAAAAGCATTAACAATATACTATCTTGTTAAAATTTACGCCATAAAAATTGATTTATTCTCATAATTTATATGACAATAACCAATAATAAAATAAAAGCATTACTTAATTTATTTAAAATACACATGCACATTTTTGCGCCTACGGAAACAAAGTATTTTAGAGGTTGGAAACCTCATGGTTCTTAGAGCTGTTAATAATTAAGAGCACAACGTGAACAGCCGTGTTACAAATTGGCATTCACCCCTCCCGCCGTATTTGCTTCCTTTCATCCCGAACCGCGAACCGGTATCTATCTATGAAAATATTTCTATCTATTCGATGTTAAAAAATTCAGAAAAAATAATAATAAATAAGAGAAGAAGAATATAAACCTGCAAATGCGAACAACGACAGTCTTAATTCAACAAAATAAACGCAAGAGGAATGGTTGCAAACTTCGAACAAGCGAATGGAATAAATCTGAAGGGTTACCAAGTTAGAACTATTATCGCCAAAGTTGGCGATGTTTACATTTACCGGGTTCTCTGCGGAAGTGCTTCGATTTTAGTTTAAATACTAGATGACGAAAGAACATATTTTACAAGATAATAGAAAAATTAGATGATTTTATTTAAGAATATATACAAGAACACGCACCTTCGATGCTAAATAAACAGTCTGCTGAACTCCGGCGGTTAGCACAGTTGCGGTTGGTATCTCCCAAGATCACCATAGAAACGAATGACGATGACGAAATATACTTTTGATATTTAACAAGGAATACAGATGGCGCTAGTCATACAATTGGACTCAATTTATCTTTGAAATCTTTGTTGGCATGAACAGCTTAGCTTAGCGGTATTTTACAAGGAGGTTAGAATTGATACATAACTAACTTCCTTGGTATTTTACTGTATGTAAATTTTCGGCAAACGGTGCACTGGTGCCTAATCAATTCACCGGCAAATAATCAATGAGAGGTTTCTCTAAAGAAGCCATTTTAATTTTGCCTGAAATATTGGGTTTTATCGAAAGTTTCCCTCTACCTCAAATGTCGCCTACGTAAACAGTTCGCGTTTAATGAAGAGTTTTGAGTTTTTATGCTTTTTTTTCCCCCGCGAAGTGAGAACTGAATTAAATGAATGGGAAATGATGAATAATGAAATTCTAGGAAGATATGATCCAGGGATTTGTAAATCGAACTAGCTAAAACAAGCAAACTGTTTGAAATTAGATCAATTTCTTTACTTATTTAATAACTTCGGACGAATGGTAATATATTTAGCAGAAAAAACCTTTTTAATTAACAACGAACTATTTTTTAGCATTCTAAACATATCAAAAATAATAGCATCCCATGCCTTATCACGCTCAAAGTAATATGTAAACAACATCACTGTTGCCACAAAAAATCTACATTATAATGAACATATTAAATTATTGTTTATTAACTGAGTTCGTGCACGTTCCTGAACATCCTCCCACCTTGCAATTTTAGGAAATTGCAACATATTCTCTACTCAGTTCAGAGATTCAGTCGATGAGGAACTTTTACTTGTCTTCCGACCCTAGTGGTTATGGGTCTGCCTATTGTAGGGGACTCAGTCAGAGGCTCTGAGGTATCAATCTGACCATCCAGAGCTGTTGGTAGTTGGGGGGAACTTCTAAGATCCGCATCTTGATCTGGATTTAACGAGACTTGAGGCTGAGGTAGCTCTGAGGGACGAGTCACTTCTAAAGGATACAGGTTTTGGACGGGTCTTATTTTTTCTCCGTCAGCCGTTTTTACTTTTGCCACTCTTACATGACCATCTGCACCTGGAAATACTTGGACAACAAGTCCCAGTGGCCAGTTGATGCGCTTTTCCGGAGTTCCAATCAGCACCACATCACCCACCTCTAAAGTGTCTCCTTTTCGTTCTCTTCTATGGACTAGCATGGCTAGGTACTCATTTCTGAATCTCGAGCGTAAATCAATCCGAAGATTTTGTAAATACCGCAAGCGACGATTTAAACTTTTGCTATCTATAGTATCCAGATCCTTTACATCATGGTGAGGGATTCCTTGTATAAAATATGCAGGTGTCAATGGCTTTAACTCCGCAGTCCCGTCTTCTAAGTAAGTTAAGGGTCGTGAATTCATTGTTGCTTCACAGTCGCATAGTATAGTTTCCAGCTCAATGTAACTGACCGTTTTAGAGCCCAAAACTCGTCTTAAAAGATCTTTTACCATCCGTACCAACCTCTCCCAAAATCCTCCCCACCAGGCAGCGGTTGGAGGATTAAACTTCCATTTAATCTTCTCAATTGTTGAGAACTCCATCCGTTATTTTTTATTTTTTCCCAATCAAGTTCGTTTAGTGCATTATTCGTTCCTACAAAGTTGGTACCATTGTCAGTATATAAGATGCTTATTCTACCCCTTCTTGCAATGAATCTTCGGAGTGCCATTATAAATGAATCTGCTGATAAAGATTTCGTCAATTCAAAGTGCACAGCACGATAGATCGCACAAGTAAAAATCACAATCCATGCTTTTTCGCCAGACAATACATACAATGGGCCAGCCAAATCGATGCCAGTGACCTCAAAAGCTCCAGCATATTTAATGCGGTCCTTTGGTAAGGGTGCAACTGGTGGTTGAACAGATTTGCCTTTGAATCTTTTACAAATAACACACTTTGAACAAATTCTCTTCACAAGACGTCTCACACCGACAATCCAATAATCTTCTCGCAAGTTGCAGATCAAGGTCCCTGTACCTGCATGCTGCAGTCGCCGATGTTTCTGTTCTATTAGGCGATGAACTAGTGCATGGTTCCCTGGCAATAGAATAGGACACTTAAAGTTTTCGTCTTCGTCACTTAAAATTAGTTTGGTTCTTACTCGAAGAAGTCCAAAGTCATCCTTAAATGTAATCATCCCTTTCAAATTTTTTCCATCAGTATTCCGAAAGTTTTCGGCTTGGATTAAATATAACAACCTTTTCTCTGCAAAACTCACTTCTTCTGAGGTTAATTCCTTATTAAATTTTTCGTTTTTTCTATAACGACTGTTGTTAAGAAATCTAAAGATCCAAGCTAATACTCTCACATTTTTATAATATCCAGAAAATCGAGTGAATGTTTCTGTGAAGTTTGGGGTTCTACAGGAAACGCTAGAAACCACATTTTCCTTTTTTCTGAATTAACTGTACTTTCATCAGTTTCTAGTTCTGACTCTTCAGAGAGAGGCCATTTATCCGGCTCCTGTTTAAGCCAATCCGGCCCCTCCCACCATCTGCTCTGTAGCAACATTTTGGCATCGCACCCTCTAGAGGGAAGATCAGCTGGATTGCTTAAGCTTGGTACATAATGCCAGTCGTCCGGATTTGTGCATCTCCTTATTTCAGCTACACGATTGGCCACAAAAACACTCCAGTGGGAGTCTTTTTTTTTATCCATGTCAGAACTACAGACGAGTCGCTCTCCAAAAGTACACTTGGCACTTTGTCAATTTAAGAGCGTCAATGACTTGACGGTACAGCCGAGAAGCTATAAGTGCTCCAAGCAACTCTAATCTGGGAATAGTTACTTCTTTGGCAGGCGCTACTCTTGATTTACATAATACCAATTGTACTGAAGTTTTGCCCTCAAAATATGCACGTAAGAAAATGCATGCTGCATAAGATACCTTACTAGCATCACTAAAACAATGTAGAGAGATAGAGCAGTCATCGAAGGGTCCAATCACAAGTCTTCTTGAAATTTTACAATAATTCAAGAAGTGTAGTCTTTTGAGCCAAGCCTGAAATTCTCTTTCTATACCTTGTGGAAGATTTTCATCCCAGGAAAGTTTCATCTTCCATATTTTTTGCAAAATGAGTTTTGGAATTAACGTGGTTGGACTTGTAAATCCGATGGGGTCGAATATCCTCTGTGAGACTGACAAAAGAGATCGTTTCGTGTGGGCACTCTCCGAAAATGTCAAAGGGTTTAAATTGCAATAGATTTCATCATTCTCGGTGTCCCATGAGAGTCCCAGAATTGGAATGACCTTCTGATAGGAAGTCATGCTTCTATCTTTGAATGGTGCAGCAGTCCACCCTCTAAGGTCAAAACCTCCTGAAGACATTAGAGTTTGGGACTCTTCTTTGAACTTGACTACTTCTTCTTCGGTTTCGAAACTAGCTATACAATTGTCGACATAAAAGGATTTCTTCAATCTAAGTGCCGTTCCGTCCGTTCCTCTTAAATCTTGTGGAGCATTATCCAAATGGTAAGAAATCGTTGCTCCCAACAGGAATGGACTCGAAGAAATGCCGAACACGACACGACAGTGTCTGTAGGTAATAATCTCGGTTTTGTTTGAATCTTTCCACCACAGGAATTTCAAAAAGTCTCTGTCTCTGACACACAAACTGATTTGTAAGAAAGCTTTCCTTATATCGGCAGTAACACCAATTGCATGTTGCCGGAATTGTATCAAAAGTTTTGGAAGCATTTCTATTAAATTCGGCCCCTTTTCGAGGCAAGCATTCAAGGAATTCCCATTTTCATCCTTCAATGATGCATCAATTACAGGTCGCACTTTCGTAGTCAGACTGGAATCCTTGATTACTGCTTGATGAGATAAATAGTGACCAGTATCACTATTATTCGGAGCTATTTCAATTATACCTTCCTCGTGCCAGCCTTTAATTATACCATCATATTCTTCGAAAAATCCCATCTTCTGCAGTCTTCATGTATTGGCGAAAAGTCTTTTTTTCGCTTTATCTTTATTATCTTCAAGAATCCGATGACTATCCTTTCAAGGCAAACAGACTTCATACCTATTGCCCTCGATTACTTTAATGTTCTCTAGGAAAAATTTGATCGTTTCATTGTCTAAATTCTCCTTAATTTTCACTTCCGCCGAATCTTTTATGCCAATTGTCTCTAAATTGCATAGTTCTGTGAGATCCAAATAACAAAGTCCGACGGTACCAAGCAAGGTATTATGACTTTGCACTGGGCCTTGTAGGGTCCAACCCAATTTTGTTTCAATGGCAATAAGGGTTTTGTTAATTGGAATAATAATATTTGTCATCAACTGTCCGGAATAGTCGGCTCCTATTAACAATCCGATATCTGGTATATCTCTTCCAGAATCACTGATTTTGATTTTATGTTCTCGAAGTGAGGAACATATATGTTTGAGTTTCACTCTAGGAATGTATCCACAAATTTTGTCTTTATCTAAAACCGATAATTCGTATTTGAATTTATTTTCCGTTCCTTGTATTTCGATATCAAAAATACCATGGACCTGAGATTCAGTTTCAACTCCACCAAACAAATTGTGGCTCAAAGTCTCTTGATCTAACGGACTAAATCTAGTCTCTTTATTTTGTCTTTCCGTAAGTAAGATCTTTGTGACCCACTGTCAAAAAGAGTTCTCACAAGTTTTTTTCCATTATGGACAATCTTCACCATAATAGTTTGGAGAAGAGTTGTTTGCAGTTTTTGGTTAGACAATAAAGTCTCACTTGTTTCGTTAGCTGCTTTAGGTGCTTCCTTTTTTGAACTTCTAGAACCTTTTAGTTCTCTGCACATCACCGTTACATGACGTTTGTTGCAAAACTAGGCATTTCACAGAACTTTTACACTTTTCGGCAGCATGCCCAATTTTTAGGCAGTTAAAACAAGCTTTTTTCTTTCTTAGTAAATTTTTCTTCTTATCTTCCAATGAAAGGCTGTGCAGCTTAAAGCACTCATAAGAATTATGTGTTTCCTTGTCACACCAAACACAAAAATTAAGCTGTTTTTTTTTCTTTGAATCTCCTGCATAAATACAAGCTGCTGTGGCTGGAACCGAGTCCAATTTGTCTGGAGCAGAAAAACTTGTACGGGCCAACTGAAGACGCTCTTCACTTTCAACTTCAATTCGGAGAAAATGCAATAAATTTTTCCAAATTTTCAGTGTGTGCCACACACTTTCCCTACGCTGGCGAGATCGCTCCCATGCCCTCAGAATTTCTTCAGGTAGTGAAGACTCTACAAGGGGATACAGCATAGCTGCATAAATCTCACTTTTTACCCCCAACGTCTCCAAAGCTCTGAGTTGCGTCTAACTTGTCATATAAGTTGGATAGAGTCATATTTCCTTTTTTGCTAGCTTGAGCCAAAACCAACTTTAATAATTCGCGAACATAGATTTCTACCAGTAATTCGTCTCATGCAAATCGAGATTTTAGCTGCTTGATAGCTTCTTTATAATTCGCGCCAGAGGCTCTCTCGCTGGGGATCCAACGACCGTTGCTTGCAATAGGTACTGAAATTTGTCATCATCATCTATATTTACATCTTCGTCAATCTTCCTAAACTGTCCCCAAAATCCTAACCAATTTCGGGTGTCTCCATTGAATTTTTGAAGCTCCAACTTTGGTAATTTAAAGTTCCTTTTAATTCCTTCCATTCCTTTCCATTCCTTCCTTTGGAATTTTCTAAAATTCCAGGTGTAATTACAGGAGTGGAATTCACCATTTTGTTTTCTACCTTTGTTTTTAAACTGATATATTTATCACGATATGTTTCATTCGTGTAAAAATCCGCTAAATATTCACTTTCGTTTTGACCTTCCAATAAAAGTTCGGAAATTTGTGACTGAACTTCATCTAATCTGTTGAATTTTCCTTCCAACCGTAAGCTCAATACTTGGAGTTGATTAACTTCCACGTCAGGCTTTAGAATTTCAGCATCTAAAGCACTGGCAGTAATCGTAAACGATTGCCTTAGTGGCTTACGCTTTTTTAATATAATTTCCATGATTTTAAATTCAATATGTCAAATATATTCAAATAATAAAGGATATAATCAAATAAATCATAAACTCACTTGATAAATTCCAATACGAAATCGATGTTTCGTTTTCTTCAAATAGCCATTCCGTCCTGTCAAAGGACGCCAGTTGCTTGAAATTAGATCAATTTCTTTACTTATTTAATAACTTTCGGACGAATGGTAATATATTTAGCAGAAAAAACCTTTTTAATTAACAACGAACTATTTTATTTAGCATTCTAAACATATCAAAAAGAATAACATCCCATGCGTTATCACGCTCAAAGTAATATGTAAACAACATCACTGTTGCCACAAAAAATCTACATTATAATGAACATATTAAATTAATGTTTATTAACTGAGTTCGTGCACGTTCCTGAACACAAACAGAAAAAGGGGGGCTTTTGTTTCTCTTTTATTTTGAGAAAACAAAATCTGTAATCAGAAAATGTCTGTAACGAATTCCCAGACCATTTCCTTTATCCTGCTAAAAACTAGGGGGAAAAACGGACTTATGTTTCATTTGTGTCCAAAGAAAGCAGAATCTGAAGGCGGAAGGAGTCTGTAACGAACTCTAGGTAGTTTCGTTGACATTGCTTCTAATTTTTTTGTTTATTTTATAATCGCTATTGTTGAAAAAGTTAGATGAGTTATATAAGCATGGGTCTCACTACCGTTTCTTGGTTAAAATAATTTCCAGAATATTGACATTGAGGTCTGAAGTTAGTAGAATAAATTGAATGCTGGGGGCAAAATATATATAATTTGCTTTTCATAATTACAAGGATTGATTGTGCAAGTGCTATATATTTGTAATCACAGTATTATTCAATTTGGCAATCGAGTGAAAATTTACAAATGAATGCAGAACATTCAGATAAGCAAATTAAATTTGTGAAAACGCTGCATGTGTATTTTTGATAAAATAATTGCGTCGTTTTTAATGCATGCATAACAATCAAATAAATCTGCATGTAATGATGAATTTCAAAGTCAAATTTTTTATGAATTCAATACTTCGAAAGAATTTAATCTTATCAAATTAAATCCTCATTACACTGATAAGCAGTTATTACTGATTTGTGTTACAAAACAAATTTTTATGCATGATAAATA